CGCAAGCAATTATATTTTTTATTTTTATTATATATATATATATATATATATATATATATATATATATATATTTTTATTATATATATATATATATATATATATATCTATAGATATAAAATAGAGAACCGATCAACGGCAAAAAGAAAGGTTGTAAATTTTTATAATTGGCGCACATGTACCGGATTATAACAAAACTCACTTCCTTTTTTTCATTAAAAAAAATTTTAGGCCAAGTTTTTTATCGAAAAAAAAATCCGAATATACCGTTGTTCACGATTTTTCGTCCTCTTTCCATAAAGATCCATGATGATATATAAAAAACGAACTTTTTTTTTCCGAAAAAAACTCACTTAATTTTCTTATTTTTTTTTTCAATATTTAAGCTTTTTTTATATAAAAAAAAAAACTAATTATACCAAAAATATTAATTTTTTGTACTCTATTAATAAACATCAACACCGATTTAAAAAAAAAAAAAAAAAACTCGAACAGTGTAGATTCACACTGTGAATCTAAACTGTAAATATTTCAATTTTTAACATTTACAATATGAAAAATCTCGAACAGTTCAGATTCACATTGTGAATCTGAGAAGGTTCACAAAAAAAAAAAAAAAAACCTCGATCAGTGTAAATTCACATTGTGAATCTAAACTGTAAATATTTTAAATTTTAACATTCACAATGTGAAAAAGCTCCAATCAGTTCAGATTCACACTGTGAATCTGATTTATTATTATACACACTGTGAATCTGAGGAGGTTCACAGTGTGAATCTGAACAGGTTTACAATATGAATCTGAACAAGTTCACAATGTGAATCTGAACTGAAATATCGTTTTTTTTTAATATGAATATGAATCTATGTTTAAAAAGTACAACAAATATGAATTTTGATATATTTATTAAATTTTTTCTATAAAAAATAGACCTTAACTTTTTTAATTAAAGAAAATGAAGTGAGTTTTTTTCGAAAAAAAAAAAGTTCGTTTTTTATATATCATCATAGATCTCTATGGAAAGAGGACAAAAAATCGTGAACAAACGGTATATTCGGTTTTTTTTTATAAAAAAACATGGCCTAAAAAAATTTTAAACGAAAAAAAGTGGTGAGTTTTTTTGTAAAGGGTGGATTTTTTGGTATAATCCGGTGTGTGTGCGTCCAATGTAAAAGTGTACATCTATTTTCTTGGTCGTTGATCGTTATGATTTCTGATGCTCACGATTGGTTCTTTGGTTAATTATGGTTCTCTATTGAACCTCACCATATATATATATATATATATATATATATATATATATATATATATATATATATATATATTAGTCCATAGCCTCTTTTATTTATTTGTTGAGTTTGTGCAATTCGGCAGACAAAGAAAGAACTAAGAATAGGTTCGTTTTTTTTTCTTCTAATGGTAATATTTATAATTCATAATTATTAGTACTTTTTATAATCATGAGCATTTCTTTTTCTAGTTTACATTGTTATTGGTATTGCTCATTCAACATTTTGATATAGTGAATCTGATTTATTATTATACACACTGTGAATCTGAGGAGGTTCACAGTGTGAATCTGAACAGGTTTACAATATGAATCTGAACAAGTTCACAATGTGAATCTGAACTGAAATATCGTTTTTTTTTAATATGAATATGAATCTATGTTTAAAAAGTACAACAAATATGAATTTTGATATATTTATTAATTTTTTTCTATAAAAAATAGACCTTAACTTTTTTAATTAAAGAAAATGAAGTGAGTTTTTTTCGAAAAAAAAAAGCTCGTTTTTTATATATCATCATAGATCTCTATGGAAAGAGGACGAAAAATCGTGAACAAACGGTATATTCGGTTTTTTTTTATAAAAAACATGGCCTAAAAAAATTTTAAACGAAAAAAAGTGGTGAGTTTTTTTGTAAAGGGTGGATTTTTTGGTATAATCCGGTGTGTGTGCGTCCAATGTAAAAGTGTACATCTATTTTCTTGGTCGTTGATCGTTATGATTTCTGATGCTCACGATTGGTTCTTTGGTTAATTATGGTTCTCTATTGAACCTCACCATATATATATATATATATATATATATATATATATATATATATATATATATATATATATATATATATATATTAGTCCATAGCCTCTTTTATTTATTTGTTGAGTTTGTGCAATTCGGCAGACAAAGAAAGAACTAAGAATAGGTTCGTTTTTTTTTCTTCTAATGGTAATATTTATAATTCATAATTATTAGTACTTTTTATAATCATGAGCATTTCTTTTTCTAGTTTACATTGTTATTGGTATTGCTCATTCAACATTTTGATATAGTGAATTATATTTCTAGAGTTCTTTTATCATAATTTTAATTTTTATCGAGTATTTGGTTGATTATTGTTATTTTATTTTCAGAAATTATGCCTCATACGTATTTATCTGGTAGTAAAAAACGTAAAAAGAGAAAAAGAATTGAAGAATCAACAAAGGCTAATAGTGGCTCTCTAGATAAGTTTTTCCAAAAAAAACCTAAAGTTCCTTCTCAAAATCAAAATATAGTGATGATATTCCTGATAATTTGGGTGTTGATGTCGAAGGAGATCAAATTAATGATGTTAATGTTGATAATGTTAATGTCGATGGAGATCGTGTTGATGTTGATGATGGTGATGACATTGAAGATGATTAATGATGTTAATGCTTCTCAATGTTGTTATTAACGAAGTGAATATGCTAACTGAGTACTTCAAGGAGTTTAGAGAAACAGGGTTTCTCCAAGGCGATTCATGATGTGTAGGAACTTTCTATTGAAATGAATATTGATCCGTATTCTCTCAAAAGCGGCCGGTTAGTAGAAAAAAACAATTTGATGAGAATTCAAGTGATCAAGTTGTTGTATTTTCAGCCAAGGAGAACTTTAAAGTTAATTACTTTTTTTTATATATTGTTGATCGAGCGAGTGTTTCTCTTAAAACAATATTTCAACAATACAAAAAGTATGAAAATATTTTTGGTTTCTTGTTTCCAAAAAAATTGAAGGAATTTGATGACAAAGATCTCAAGTCATGTTGTAGCCGTCTCGAAGCCGCACTTAAGTCTGGTGAACAATCAAATATTGATTCTCATGAACTTTATATGGAGCTAAAGCTGCTTGATATGTTATTACTGAGTGAAATTACGAGCCCTATTGATGTTTTAAAGTATATGAAAAAAGTCGATTGTTTTCCTAATGTAATTATTGCCTACATAATCTTGTTTACTATTCCTGTAACGATCGCGTTTGCAGAAAGAAGTTTTTCAAAGCTAAAGTTGTTAAAGTCCTACCTACGGTCCACAATGTCACAAGAAAGACTTAATGGATTGACGATAATATCTACTGAGAAAGATATATTAGAGACTATTGATTATGAAGAGTTAGTGAACAATTTTGCTTCCAAAAATGCTAGGAGAGTCTCGCGATTCATGTAATTGCCTAAGATTATCTATTGTATGATCGTTCTTTTGTTTTGCTTCATATTATAACAATTCTGGAATAATTAATGAATTTTTGGTATAAGTAAAAAATAAATATATATTTAGGGGCCCATTTTTTAGTTTCGCACCGGACCCCTAAAATCAACGAACCGACCCTGGTATCACATGAATAATTTTTAGATTTAAAGTCGACAAATCCAACTTCTTAAAGTTAACGTTATATGTTTTTTTTGGAAATTTTATATTAGCCACATGCCCCCATGATCCAATGCCTAATTTTTTTCACGAATAATGGCCTAAAAAATAGGTTATTTTTCAAATACATCATGCCCTCAACACTTTGGCCTAGGGTCAACTCAATCTAGTTGCAATTAATTGATAGGGTCTTGACTGTGAAAGATTTTGTGTGTGTGCATGTGTATTATTTGAGTCAATATTCCGTTTGGAATGAATTCATATTCAGATGTTAAGTAAGAGTATGAGATAGAGTTTTTGATTAACGTATTTGGTGATGATTATGAAGGATGTAAACAAATAATGCAATAAATTATGAAGGTTGTAAACAGTTGAGCATCTAAACAGTGAAATTGTTGAGATTTGTTATGCATTAAGGAATTTTAATTCATATGTGAGTATATGGAAAACTTTAGTATGATTGAACTTGGAAAAATGGAATAGGTAATTGATTAAATGGTATATGGTAAAGCTAAGTTGCTTTAAATTAAGAAATTATGTTTTGTATATTTAATATTGAAAATTGTATTCATCTTAGTTCAATACTTTGAGTAATATTCAAAACTGTTATTCCGCTTTGTGTATGAATGTGTACTATATGAGTCAATATTCTGTTTGGAATGGAATAATATTCAAATGTGAATTAAGAGTATGTGATAGAGTTTTTTTTATTATCGTATTTGGTGATGAATAGGAAGGATGTAACAAATAATGCAATGAATTATGAAGTTTAATTCATATGTGAGTATATGGAAAACACTAGTATGATTGAACTTGGAAAAATGGAATAGGTTAATGATTAAATTTATATGGTAAATCTAAGTTGCTTCACATTAAAAAATTATGTTCTATGGTTAATATTGAAAATTGTATTCCTGCTAGGTCCATACTTTGATATTGGAAAATAAAAATGGAAGCGATATGGATGCGTGAGTGAATGTTTAATGTATGAGTAAAAAATTATGTGTTGAGTATGGTACTATTGAAGCTGTTGATTTTTTTTGGTTTGATGCATGTGTATTCACTTATGAATATGTGCAGTTTAATTTTATAATTTGTTTGAAAAATGTAAGATTGATTATGATGATAACAATGTACAGGTTCATCAAGTGTCCGTGTACTTGAAGGAAACAATGTTATGATGAATGTAGGTAACGAAGGGATAGCTGGTGGGGGACGAAAGCTAGAATTACCAAAAAGACTAATAATGGAAAATCAAAGAAAAATGACAGCAGTGATGATGATTTTGTTGAGAGGAAAAAGAAGATGAATTTTGGGAAGAATGAGAACAAAATGAAAAGGAAAAGGGTTGAAAAGATTGTTAGGGATAAAAAGGTTAAGGTGAAAGGGAAAAAAGTAATTGGATCTCAGGATAAATGTAAAGAAGGGAAGGTAGGAACAGAATTTCAAAGGTTGAGTACTCGTATGTCTCCAAACTCATTGTATTTAGCAATTAAAAGTTTGTCAAAAAATCAGCGAGAAATGGTATGCAAGATGGGTTTTGGATCTTTTCTGGGAATGAAGATTGATACACTACCCGGAAAGTTAGCATATTTTGTTGTAGATAGCTTCACAACTAGTTCTTGCTCCATATGGGTTAAAAGTGGTGAAGTGACCATAACAAACGAGACAGTTGAAGCTATGTTTGGGCTTCCGAATAAGGGTTTGGATTTTAAGACACTGGGCGAATGTGATAAGAATGATCCATTGCTTGAGGCTTGGAAAGCACAATATTGGAAGGGAAATTATTATAACTATTTGAAGGAAAACAAATGTTGCGGATGAGATGTTTAAGCTGAATTTCTTAACGAAGACTACGTTACCCCTCGATTAAAAATCTATGGGTAAGGGAGACACTGGTAAAATTTCAGCTCGATCGGACCACGTTTACCCCTCGATCCAATCACTTTACGAAGACCGTGCATTGCTACCAAATTTCCAAAGAAAATCTTTAAATCACTTCGTTTTATTGCTTTATCGTGGATGTTGTTACGAGACTTCAAATGTGGTTGCAAGGTCTTCCATGTGACTTCTATTGGTCCTTGAAGATGTCATTACCCGCTTACATAAATCTGCAATAATTAAGCTTAAACGAGTAAAATTGTCCCAAACAAACAATGTAATAAAACGTATGAAATGCATGCTAAATATATACAATATGTTGCGGAAATGATGTGTAAAATATGATAAAATGATGTTTAGAACTGAACCTAACAAAATCTCCCCAAACTTAAACCTTTATTGTCCTCGAGAAAAAACGAGCCGGGAATGAACCGGAAAGAAGAAAAGAAATAAATAAAACTAATAACTAAACTTCTCAAAACTATGCATGGAAAACAAAACATGATCCAAACCATAACCTCATCCATATCAAACAATTAAGAGTATGTAAAAACACCACATGTCTTGAACCAACTTAGTCTTATCATAAAATTAAACATTACAAGATTAAGGCCTCGTTTGATATGCATATTTTCAGGTCCAAACAGATCTTTCTGGCTGAATGGACCGGAAAGACTGTTTGATTTCCACAAAAAAAGAGGTCTTTCCCGGTAAGATATGTCTTTCCCAGAAAGCCCTAAAATCATATCTTTCTAGCTGAATGAACTGGAAAGACAATTATGCACCAAACCCCGTCTCTTTCTTTCTTTATTGGATTATTAATTTTTTTAAATAATTTTTTAATTTATTTTTTATTGAATTATTACTTTTTTTCATCATTCAGCACAATCAATCAGATGTACAATCAAACAACATGTTTTCTTTCCCAGTCAGAAAACTTTCCCAGACAACACTTTATCAGACAGCACTTTCCAAGACATAAACTATCAAACGGGACCTAAGACTTAATTACTTCTTAGTACGACCCAACAAAATCAAAAGTTAACAACACTTCTTCACGGTCACCGATATTGAGTTAGCAAATGAAACAAGACAATCTTATTTTTGTGTAAAAGATATGCCATAAAAACATGCTCAACGAATTTTGTTTTGTAAATTATATCAATGACCAAACCCAACTATTTTGTTGACCAATAACAATCATTTTCTAAAAAATCCCTACAATTTACCCAGATTGGTTACAAATTTCAAACCACTTACACCAGTCAAAGTAGTTAGCATTCAGTCCCAATGTCATAAGTTCAAGTCCAAGTCCAAAGGAATCTTTTGTTAGCTAAACATTTTTTCTAACTTGAGTACAAACAATGATGCACATTGTTCAATTAGACTATGACTAACATAAATATAAATATATATACCATCTAAATATATTTTCTTATAAATAAAGCTCATGACTTTCTACAAAGTCCGTGTAACGGACTTCCAACCAACACATCCAGACCAGACGACCTTAGTGTGCTAGATTTAAAGGAATCCATCGGGTCTACTTGTCCGTACTTCAAAGGTCACAGAGTAACTTCATTTGAATCACATATATTTTTTTGTTATTATTAAGTTCATGACTTTCGATGGAACCCGTGTAACGAACTTTCAACCCAATCAGTCATAAACAAGTCAACTTTTAAGTAGTTAGGTGTAGAACACCCATCGGGGTTTACTTATTCGAATCCAAAAGGTCACATATTTAACTTAATAATATTTTTTTATTTTTACTTTTTATTTATTTATTTGTTTTAATTTATTTTTTAGGCTTATCTCTTTATATTTTCGTCATTGAGTTTTCTATTGTGAACATCTCACGGTCTATTACCAAGAGAGGCTTGTAAGACATTTTTATCGGGACTAATGTTAATATGCAGGGACCCGTAAGTATAGTTGGAAACTATGTCCCCAAACACTATACTTAGAAGGGAATGAGTAGAAAAGACTTTTTAGAGCGCTGGAAAGTTCGAGTTATTGGAATTTTCTATTAATTTTATGCTTTCCATAGATTGAGTTTAGTTCTAATTGAGCATTTACGAACTGTAAGACCTGGTTTCCATAGGCTAACTTATACCAACAATTATGCTTTAGTATTGAAATAATGAAAACTTTTTCATTTTTCGTTTTGCATGGGTAGTTTCGGAAGATGTGTAAGTGTGTGAGAATAAACAACAATTATGCTTTAGTATTGAAAAATAGGTTATTTTTCAAATACATCATGCCCTCAACGCTGTGGCCTAGGGTCAACTCAAACAATATAATGATTTTTTGCTCAAATTATCCAAAGTTAAAATTTGAAGAAGGACTTAAACTTTAGATAAAAATGATAAACTTATCGATAGAATTTCAAATTAACTTTGTATGTTTCATTTTCAATATTATTTTTTTAACTTATTAATCTACTTATTATTATTTTTTGTTTTATCAAATAATTTATTTAGAATCAAGAAATCAAGAAACATTTATATAAACTCACAAGTAGGCTTGCACAAAAAAACCGGATCAGGATCCGAACCAGTCACTGAACCGGTAAACCGGTTCACCATGAACCGGTAAACCGGTTCACCATGAACCGGTCCACTATGAACCGAACCGATTCATGAATCGAACCGCCGGTTTGAACCCGTTCGAGATTTTAGACATTGAACCGGTTTAATAACCGTGAACCAGTTTAGAATCGGTAGTCAAACCGATCAAACCGGTTTAGAACCGATTGAACCGGTTTAGATAGGTTCGAGTTTAATAATGACGGAACCGGTTTAAGGTTGTACCGGTTTTACTATTCATGAATTGAAACCGAACCGGTTTTCTGAACCGGTTCGGTTTGAAAAAAAAACCGGTTTGCTCACCCCTAAAGTCACAAGGGACGAAGAATATATGTGATTGGTCGATTGGGTATCTGTTTCACAGTTCAATGGGCCTCGGCCCAGTGGATAGGGTTTGATGTTACGGCTTACGCGTATAAAAATTGATTCATCTCCACGTTAGGGCTGGAGTACAGCGTAGAGGCGGAGGAGAAGCCGGCAAATCAGGGGACGATTGCTTCACTTAATAACGGTAATCGTGAAAACCTAATCTTCCGAGTCTACTAATTTCATTACTGTGTGATTTATGATACGGATCCCGATCCCGATTCGAGGACAATGGTTTTGTTTAGTTATTTTCTAGGGTTTGTTTTCTGTGTTTCTTTTTCTTTCTGATATAAGTTTCAATGATTCATCGACTCTGAATAAACTAAGTCTATTTATTTTGCATCAAATTTAGGCATAAAGATGTTTCAAATTGATCGAAAAAATTAGTTTTTTTTTTCTTCACTGCTGATAATCGGTAATTGGAGGGAGCTGTTGACTATCGGATAACATGTATTTACAAAGTTGTTTCATTTTCATCTTAGTTTAGCTTTAGTTTAGCTTTGTTTGAAGGGGGACAAGAAAACTCGAATATTAATGTAAAATTTGTGCATGTCTTGATTTTACCATGGTTTTATGTGTGTGATTCATGGATCTGCTGAATGTTTGGTATTGTTTAACTCTCTTGATTGGTTTTATTCAGCTCGTTTTGTACATTGACTTTTGTAGACGTTTGCTCCTATACAATTAGTTTTCTTACATAAAGAATTACTTAATATGTTAAGTATTGCATACCATAAGCATAAGTATATGTAGTCTGCATCAATAGAGCTTTAATCAATTAAGAATGATTGGGCAATTCTAACTGGGATTTGGTGAATTAATTATGCATATGTCAGCATATCATAATATCATAAGGCAGTTGAATTGGTTTTGGGCTTTGGTTTTTGAACTCTTATTTAGGCTTCAAAAGTCAACCAACCGCAGATGGATGGGAAAAAGAAGAATGGATCAGGTTTGTATGCAATTGCTACTTTCTGTTGAAAGAGTTTCCTCTAAATATGTTCAATTAGAATTATAGATAAACAGAGAACAAGTCGCTTATATAAAAAAAAATCTCTTTGGATGCTTTATACTGGTCATCAAGGTGTAGGGTTTTGACATCTGGCTTTCTCTTTGGATGCTTTATACTGGTCAACTTATTGTTATATAGGACACTCTCTACAAAAATATTATAATTAAAAAATATCCATATATTGATTGGAAATCTTGAAGAATAAAGTGTAAATCCTTTGGTTGGAAGATTAAGGTTTTATTAGGATGAGTTGATATAAATTTGATTCCAAGATTAGAATATGCTTATACTGAATTATTAAATTTTTTGATTCAGGGAACGAGACACATGACATGGATCAAGATGCGCGACACCTTGAATCCAGGTTACTAGATATTTTTATTATTATTGAATGAATGACATAATTTGAAAAATATGGACATTAGAGAATAATAAGTTTGCATTAATTTGGATTTAATTGGTTTTCTATTTGTTTAAAATTTTCAGGGTAGATAATTTTTCTTTGAATACGTTGGCCAACGATATAAATAAAATTCTGAGGTGTACTGTGTCCTTACTAGACAAGTTTGAAGATCTGGGCACTCGCTTACAACGTATCGAGGCGGAGTTGAAAAAATATCAACCAAAGCCAAAGCCTGAGATTCCTACAGAGGAGAAGCCACCTCCTTACAACCCAAACATATGTCTACCAACATTCCCTGACAAGTTTAATCTTGATGTCTTTTGCAACTGGGTTAAGGAGGTAGAATTTTATTTTGAGTATTATCGTGTCCCAAAGCATGAAAAAATAGACCTTGTAGCCAACACATTGCCACTTGAAGGAGAGGCTTTCAAATGGTGGCAAGATATCCAAAAGCTAAACAAGAAAGTCTATAAAAATGGTCCCTTTGGGTGGACAGAGATGAAGATGTTGTTTATGGATAAATTCCTTTCTCCATAGATTGTTTGATAGCCAACCAAAAATCCAAAGTTAAGTTTCCTTGTGTTGGATTTCGAATTTATTTATCTAAGGAAATGGAATTTAAGGAAAATTAAAATCCCTATCGGTTGTTTGCTTGAAAATAGTTGGATTAAGCAACGCTATATATATACTAGGAACATTTGAAGGGCCGTGGGTATTGTAAAAAACCGACTTAATGCAAAAATTAGAATTTATTCACACAGGATTTTATTTTCACCATTTAATGGTTTGGTTTAGAAGCATTTATTTTTATTCTTTTAGAAGATTTAAACAAAAAACCAAACAAGCACTCAAAGGTAGAGATGCAGAAATTAAAGTTACGAATATCATAGTAGAGAAGTATCTTGGGATGGGGAAGATTTTATGATTATCCGGTAATAATAAGAGGAATAACTGTTAACCGACACAGTCCAATCATGGTTCAGTTTGTATATTTTCCCAGTTGATAACTAATTCTTTGGTTATGGTTTTATAAATTATTTATAAATTAAACGAACCAGTTGATAACTTAATATTTAAATATATAAAAAATATATATATCTATTAAAAATAATATAATTCAATGTGTATAAAATAATTAATGCTTACTTACCATTAGATATGATTGAGGAATCAATCAATGTAAAGTTGCACCTAGATGGACATATGCAATTAGTCAATCTCGCACTATGCTTAACTACTCAATAATTTGGTTATTATTAATTACACAATTTGTGGAAGTGGCATTAAACACAAAAATTTATATGTTTTATTTTATTATTATACGATTTGAAAAGCTTACAAACATTGGTTACCAAATATTTATTGTTTTTTTATACCTATATACTTTCACTTCAACACTATTTTTGAACGTTGTGGTTAACCAACGTTAACCATTAACCAAAAAAATACCATTAACCATAACCATTACCAACAAATACCAAAATACATTAACCAATAGTAATGGTTATGGTTTGATTTTATCCAATAACCAAACCAAACAATCTCATACACAACTGTACTGATCGATAATCTTGGTTCAAATTTCAATGGTAATATATAACTTTATGATTTTATGATAATCTCATTTCAAATTGCTTCATAATTTTAGATTTTCGGTATTCATATATATATATATATATATATATATATATATATATATATATATATATATATAATAAAAAATAATTTTATTTTCCTTTTGACATGTTTTAGGTCTTCTAATTAATGCATATTTTATTCTTTACTAGGCGTGAGACTCATGTATTACATGAGTTTATTTAAAAAAAATTAAATATAAAATTTTAACAATTTGAAAAGTTTGAATTTATAAAAAAATAATATTTTTTTTTGAATTATTAAAGTTAATGAGACTTTAATGTATTGGATACATTACATATATAAACCATTTCTAATAAATACGTTACATATATATTTACCTTACATATTAAATGTGAAATTTTAATTTAATAAAATGAAAAATACAATAAAATGACAAGTGGAAAATAGAAAATTTAAAAATATTAGAAAATGCCATGTGTCCAAATGAAGGAGAAGATGACATGTGGTAAAAAAACATTCATTTATTAAGGAGGATATTAGGTATGAAACCCATGTATTACATGAGTTTATTTAAAAAAAATTAAATATTAAATTTTTAATAATTTAAATTTTTTGAATTTATAAGAAAAATAGAAAAAGTTTAAACTATTAAAATTAATGAGGCTTTAATGTATTGAATACATTACATATATAAATCTTTTCTAATAAATACCTTAAATATATATTATCATATATATTAAATGTGGAATTTTAATTTAATAAAAAGAAAAATACAATAAAATAACAAGTGGAAAATAGAAAATTCAAAAATTCTAGAAAATGTCATGTGTCCAAATGAAGGAGAAGATGACATGTCATAAGAAAGACTTAATGGATTGACGACAATAGCTATTGAGAAAGATATATTAGAGACTACTGATTATGAAGAGTTAGTGAATAATTTTGCTTCCAACAATACAAGGAGAGTCTCGCGATTCATATAGTTGTCTAAGATTATCTATTGTATGATCGTTCTTTTGTTTTGCTTCATATTATAATAGTTATGGAATAATTAATGAATTTTTGCTATAAGTAAAAAATAAATATATATTTAGGGGCCTCTTTTTTATTTTGCACCGGGTCCCTAAAATCAACGGATCGACCGTGGTATAACATGAATAATTTTTAGATTTAAAGTCGACAAATCCAACTTCTTAATGTTAAAGTTATATGTTTTTTTTTTTTGGAAATTTTATATTAGCCAAATGCCCACATGATCCAATGCCTAATTTTTTTGGAAATTTTACATCATGCCCTCAACGTTGTGGCCTAGGGTCAACTCAGACAATATAATGATTTTTTGCTCAAATTATTCAAAGTTAAATTTGAAGAATGATTTAAATTTTAGATAAAAATGATAAACTTATTGATAGAATTTCAAATTAACTTTGTATGTTTCATTTTCAATATTATTTTTTTAACTTATTAATCTACTTATTATTTATTTATTTTTTTGTTTTATCAAATAATTAATTTAGAATCAAGAAATCAAGAAAGATTTACATAAACTCACAAGGGACGAAGAATATATGTGATTGGTCGATTGGGTATCTGTTTCACAGTTCAATGGGCCTCGGCCCAGTGGATAGGGTTTGATGTTACGGCTTACGCGTATAAAATTGATTCATCTCCACGTTAGGGCTGGAGTACAGCGTAGAGGCGGAGGAGAAGCCGGCAAATCAGGGGACGATTGCTTCACTTAATAACGGTAATCGTGAAAACCTAATCTTCCGAGTCTACTAATTTCATTACTGTGTGATTTATGATACGGATCCTGATCCCGATTCGAGGACAATGGTTTTGTTTAGTTATTTTCTAGGGTTTGTTTTCTGTGTTTCTTTTTCTTTCTGATATAAGTTTCAATGATTCATCGACTCTGAATAAACTAAGTCTATTTATTTTGCATCAAATTTAGGCATAAAGATGTTTCAAATTGATCGAAAAATTATTTTTATGCCTTTACAAAGTTGTTTCATTTTCATTTTCATCGTAGTTTGGTTAGGTTTGGTTTGAAGGGGGACACGAAAAGTCGAATATTAATGTAAAATTTTTGATTTCACCATGGTTTTATATGCTTGATTCATGGATATGCCGAGTAATTGGATGGAATACATAAATAAATAATCTCTTGGTAACATACTTTTGGTATTTGTTAACTTTCTTGATTGGTTTTATTCTGTTTGCTGCTATTATGGATTTTGTTTGTTCTTGCAGTTTATTTATAAGAAATAAATAAATCGTCTTGGTGGTTTTTTTTTTTTTTTTTTTGTTTTTGTTTTTACCATTTCCAACCCAGAGGCATCTCTGAATAACCAATGATAAACCTTTAACATTTGATGGCATCCACAGCAACTTAAGTATGAGTACGTCAGTTTATGCACATCTGTACACTCATACCATGAGCATATGTAATCTGCATCAATATAGCTTAAATCGATTAGCAATGATTGGACAAGTTTATCTGGGATTTGGTGAATTATTTATGCATATGTATATCACAAGGCAATTGTATTGATTTTGGGCTTTGGTTTTTGTTCTCTTAATTAAGACGAGCTTTCTAATTCTATTGTGCAGCAGGGTTCAAAAGTCAACAAACTGCAGATGGATGGCGAAATGAAGAATGACTCAGGTTTGGATGTATTCTTTTGCAAGAAGTTACTGTAAATATGTTCAATTAGAGTTTTAGATACACAGACACGAATCATATAAAAAAATCATGCTTGTATTTAGAATCTTTAGAATGCAAAGTCAAATAGTTTAAAATAAACACACAGAACAAGTTATTTAGAATCTCCACGTGGTGATGCTAACCACTTAGTTAATAACTTGTGCACCGGTATTGTCTTCTTCTATGGAGAACGGAACAGCCAAAACCCTAGATTTGTCATCAATCTGACTTGGTGTAGAGTTTTGACATCTGGCTAATTTCTCTTCTTCTTCGGATGCTTTATACTGATGAAGTTGTTGTTACATAGAACTCTCTCTCTCTCTCTCTCTCTCTCTCTCTCTTTCTCTTTATATATATATATATATATATATATATATGTTTCAAAAAGAGAAACAGTATTGAAAGAATAAGGTTTAAATACTTTTGTTCAAAGTTTTAAGGTTTTATTAGGATGAGTTTATATTTTATTCCAAGTTTAGAGTTGTGTTTGGAAAAAATAACCCATTTGCAGAAATGATGCACATTGATTTTTACTGGGAATTGTTTGTTATGCTGAATCTAAATTCTTTGATGCAGGGAAGGTGACACAAGACATGGATCAAGGACACTGTGAATCCAGGTTACTTACTGGATATTTTAATTCTTTTTTGAATGATAATATTTTAAAAATATGGGCATTAGAGAATGATAAAGAAGTTTCACAGATTTTTATATTCTCCAAAGTTTCCATTATTTTGGATTTTTAATCGGTTTGCATTCTAAAGTTTACATTTGTTTATATTTTTCAGTACCACTTTAACTTTGGTGAACGATTTAAATAAATGTATGAGCGATGTTTGGTCTATTTCAAACATGCTGGAAAGTCTTGGCGCTTGTGTAGAATATATGGACGAGGAGTTGCCAAAATATCTATACAAGGTACATTATCCGTTAGAGATGATTGAGTTTCCAGAGGAGAAACCAAGATCTATCAAACCAGAGTCACTTCTACCAACTTTTAATGAAGATTTTGATGAAGATGAATTTTACTATTGGATAGAAGATGTAGAAAGTGGTTTTGAGTATTGTGATGTCGCAGTGGATAAACAAGTAGAAGTTGTAGTCAGATGCACATTGCCACTTGAAGGAGAGGCTTTCAAATGGTGGCAAGGTATCCAAGAGCTAAGCAAGAAAGTCGATGGAAAAAATTCCATTGGGTGGAATGAGATGAAAAACTTGTTTATGTCTAAATACCTTTATCCAAAGATTGTTTGATAGCTAACAAAACATATCCTTTTAAGGAAATGGAATGGCATCTATTTGGAATTTAAGGAAATTAAAATCCTTTTGGTATGTTTCAACTTTTTAGTATCTGGTAAAATTACGAACATATCCTTTTATCTTTCGGCTCAAAGTAAACCCATTCTAGCATATAACAAACCTCTATGACATCAGCAATGGCTAAACTTAACATTCTAGCAGTTAACAAACATCCTTGATTTCTCATATAAAACTCAATTCAACCTGTTATTTATTCATTTAACTAGGTGTATACATGATTAAAAAAATTTATATATGAAGATATAAACATTAAGTATTTTTTTACAGAAAAGATTAAATATTAATGTGTAAATATTAAGTATTTTAAAAAAAAAATCAAAATATATATAAACAAAATGATGAATAAATAAATAATTATATATATATATATATATATATATTATATATATATATATATATATATTAAAATTGTCTACCCTACAGCGGCTAAGAGATTGACATAAATAGTCCTTAATTATTAATATATTATATATATATAAAATTGTTGAGAAAAGGAACAGTTAATTTGCTTACATTTTGTCCAAGTTTAGTCCCTTGAATTACATTTTCGGTCCCTTTATATTTATATTGCTTTGTGTGTCACTTCTTCTATATTGATCCAATTATTTTCTTTATTGACCATTTTGGTATTGTTTTTCGTTTTCTCCCCCTGGACTTTTTATGTTTGTCAATTTTATCACTTTTAATAAAGTGTGGTCGATATCTCTGATCAATGGTCAACTGTTAAAGGAACGCGACTCATCAGGATGCAGACTACGTGTCCGTCTTCTATGCATCATCATCATTTCACCGCCTCCCCGTCCAATTACCTTACAACACTTCAAATCCAACTTTATTCCTTCCCTATCTTCTATTCGACGCATTCTTGATTGAACAAAAACCACCTCATCTCCTTCTTATTCTCACTTTCTTATTCTCACTGCTCCGTCTGATGGAGGGCTTTTCCCGGACTCGTTTCTAGCTTTCGCTCCATCTCCACCTTCTAAGTTTTCTAATATGTGTCTTCAAAAAAGAGTCGATTTTCCGTCGGCGACAGCAAATCAGACCCTCTTCATTGACAATCCCATTCTCAATCTTTCAACTTCTACCCAGATGAACGATTAAAATACAGAAAAGATGTTGTCGCAGCAAAGAAAATGGTCCTTCGTGTTCAAGAAGGCGATGTTGCCGTCACCCGCTTCGTTATCGCAATTCTTGAGATTTCTCATGTGTTCTCCATATTCCACTTTTGAAGTTCTACCTACCGTCAACCAAGCCTTCGAAGGTCGATTACAAGTCGCCGCCTCCGTTTCAGGTGATTTTTTTTCTTATATTCTTCTTCAGTTTTCGTTTAGGCTTTACCCATTTTGTGTAGATCACCCCATCAAAGGATCGTTTGGTGGTTTCCGATTTGGCTGTTGGCGATCGGTATTCAGTGGTTATCGGCTGGTTTGGAGACAATTTCTTTTGCTTCCACGTGTTGTTGCCTCCTGTGTACAGAGATGCTTACAAATATCCACTACCTCCCTTGATTTACTCTCTCACTATCGTTTACACAACCTTCGTCGACAGAAAGATCGAGTGTAACAACAAATAGAAGACAATAGGATGGAGAGGAACACCACACAGCTCCAATGGACGTGCAGGTAACCGCTTTCACTAGCATTGACAACATAATGGAAGGAAGGTATCACGAAAGTGCTCATCGCCCTTCCGTAACCTCCGTGCTCCCTTCTTGCGATCAATTTTTTTTAAAACTTGACGAAATCGTAATCAATTTCTTACGCCCAGACAGAAACCCTAGAATTCCACGAATGAAAGTAGGATCGGCCTGTATTGGTCAGTTGCGGCTGAGTTGGCAAGGGTTTACCGGAGCAGTAGACATTGATTTTCATATTTTGGAAGCTATAGTTAAGTTCAAGGTAAAATTGATTTGGGGGCTTTCAGTTTTTGCTACAATCTGATTTCATAAGGACCTAGCATCTAATGTGTTCGATTTTACTTGCATTTTTTTGGATTGTTATTTGTGCAGGTACTGTGAACTCAAGTTCTAGGTCAAAGGGCTTTCTTCATTACATTTTCATACTGGTTTCTATCCTCCTCAAAGTAGATAGTGCAAAGAACAATCTCAACCTCTTCGAAATTCATTAGATGTAAGTATAATTTTTTTTTTGGAATCCATGTTAGAAGTTATATTGTAATTTGGTTTTGTTAAATTTGTCGATTTCATGGTGTTTGATTCTCAAATAACTTGTTTACACTTAATCTCTTACAATTTTAGATTGTTAGTCTTAAAATTATTCTGAAATTTGGTTATGCTTTTGCTTATTGAAAAGACTTTATTAATGCTATATTAATGCTATTTTGTACTGATACAATGGTAAATTACTAAATTGGTGATTATAAGGGATTCGATTTGAAGTCCGATTCCGATGCCGATATTGTTTGATATAAATTTTGTGTTTGGTTAACACTTTTTATATATATACAAATTTACAACTAGATCATATTGAATATTATTATATTAAAGGTAATGATATTTTTTTTGTGTAGCAGACATGGACTTGAAATCAAATATGCTTATGAACATGTTTGCGGGACTTGAAACTGGTGGCTTCACAATACAAATGGTAATTAAAATATTTACTTATTATTTACTATCAAAACCATCCTTCATATCTCACAAATTGAATTGGTAAGACTGTCATTAGAAAAATTTAAAGAAACTGATTAAGCACACCACGTGTTCGATAAAATGCATAGTTGAAATTTGGGTATTTGTAAAAAGTTTTATCTACACAATTGAATCAATGCAGCGGTCCGATTGCTAAAAAGTTCCTCCTATGTTTCTTTCATTTTTCTGGTGGGATTTATTTTGAACGAAAATGTTATAAGTGTCCCTTATATGTAGTTTATGACTGCATAGAAGATCTTCTGAATGTGTATGTTTAATTTTAACAGTTTTTGATCAAAGCAAACACAACCAATCACTAAATAGTGATTTTAACAGTTTTTTTCCATAATGCCCATGCATATTGTTTTTTTGATAAAAAAATAACAACTGTAACAGTTTTGACCAAAATGCCACTACATACTGTCCAAAATGCCCCTGCATACTGTTTTTTTGATAAAAAAATTTATTTTAACACTTTTGACCGAACTGCCTCTACATAGTCTTCTTTTGTTAAAAAATAGTTATTTTAAGAGTTTTCGATGGGAATGCCCTTACATACATTTACTTTTTATTAAAAAATAATGATTTTAACGTTATTTCTCCAAAATGCCCGTATATAATGTTTTTTGGGTAAAAATTAATGATTTTATACTTTTTGACCAAACTGCCCATCCATACAGTTTTTTTGGTAAAAGTTAGTGATTTTAACAGTTTATCCATTGGTGCAAATCTAATCTTCTATATCAATTGATTAATGGATTGACACTTTTAGTTTAGTTTAATATTATTACAAGGTTTCATGGAAGTTGTTAATCTCTTTTTGATTCGCACCTGGATACCATACATGTGACTACTAAATTAATATTATACTAGATACCATAGATGTGACTATATATAATAAAAAAATGAATGAAAGTAAGTTGCTATTTTTTTTCTAATAAGTCATTTTAAGTTGTATAAAAAACTACTGAAAGTTTGGTCTCTGTTGATGCGAGCATCCAATCTTATTTTTGATGGTGTTGAGAGTCGAAAGAGATACAATACGGTTTCGTTTAAGGAAATCCATATGTAAATCAAACTGAAGGTAATCGAGGTTTATTTATTTTTTTGTTTTTTACTTGCTTCCTGGAGATTGGGCTACTAGCCCACTATCTTGCAATTGCAATGTATCTTTTCGTCCAATAAAATCTTTTAACTTAATATTTTAATATGCGATTAATGTATATTTCAGAAGTTTTAGTTTTTCGATTTGCACTTTTTTTAAGAGGTTGGAATTGAAATTAATGCTTCTGCAAGCACTTCCGAATGTTGAAATAAATGAAATCTGGAACTCAAATTTGTTTGTACAAAGGTGAGGATGATACGGATATATATAAAACTGAATTCGCCAATTTTTATATACAATGGGTTCTTTTATTACTTTTTTTAGTAACAAGCAGGAGATGTGGCGGGGTCGCCAATACACACGACTGATTGTGACTCTGGAATGAATGATTCTGATGTTGGTATGAAAGAATAAGCAACTGCTTCTGACGACAAAGCAGCAGATGGGATTGACCTTAAAAATGAAAAAAAGACAAATTTATGAATCTGTTCCCAGTACACTTCACTGGAAGAGGGGGACTTGGAGAATGCCAAATTTATTTCCTACCTTTGACGCTGAATATGATTTAACAAAATTAGATCTAGGGAAACCAGCAGGGGAGCATGTTCTTGCTCAGCTGAAAATACATTGTTATCCAAACATTTTTTCCTCCCGAATAAACAATCAACCATGTAGTGCATGTAAACCCCCTTTGGAAATGGTTTATTCAAAATCCGACCTCCGCAATGCGGGGCACATTTCTAGTTCAATATATTAAAGATATGAAGCTTAGGCGTAGTAAACTGGACATTTTTTTGGCAGAAATGGTCCATGTACTTTGCTTCTTATTTTTTATGTATTCTGACATTTTTGGTCTTTGCAATCAATATTTTTACACTTTTTATGAACCTTTTAATATTTAAAGTTTGGCCACAAAATTTTAACGATTTGACAACTTTGATCCCTTTTCTAAAAATATGTTAATTCCTACCTCTTTAATTTTTTAATCGTTTTGAAACTTCTGATCCTTGCAGCCAAAATTTTTATATTTTTTCATAAAAACATGAAAAAAACGGTCCGGGGCAAAATCCGGGCTTTTCATCATTACACTTTTTACGTCTGTCATATTTATCGATTCGGAAACAATATTGAAAGCTTTTGGCTCCTGCGTAGCGGGGGTAACCTTTCTAGTTTATATTAATAAAAAAAACTATAGAAAAATAATTATATTTTGGCCATATAATCTTTTTTTAATTTGTCAATAAAAAACAATAAAGTTTGATTATTTTTTCTATGTAAACCATTTTGCCTAAAATGATAATCAACTTTGAAAAAAACATGTTAATTTTGAATCACATATATTAAGGATTAAGGAAACATATTAAAATTGGAATTACATATATTAAGGATTAAGGAAACATATTAAAATTT